ATATATATATATATATATATATATATAAGACCAAATAAGCACCATACACATGTGAAAACATGAATAATTTTCTACCCTAACCGGGACTTGAACCTAGGATTTACAATTACTAAGTCAAGGCGCTACTAACTACACCACAGAAGGTTAAAAAGAATCAGACTTTATACCTTATATCTGCTATACATAGGAATGAACGCATTCTATCTGAATGCCACTATGTTCATATTACAGATTCCCCAACCTCACTCGTGACTTCATTTTTGCATTTAATTCAACTCCCAATCACATTCGGGCCCAACAATAACCAAATAAGCACATTACGTATGTGAAAACATGAATCATTTTGTGCCCCGACTGGGACTTGCAACTAGGACTTATACTTACTAATTCAAGGCGCTACTAACTACACCACAAACGGTAAAAAGGAATCAAACCTTATAGCTTATATATGCTATACTTAGGAATGAACGCATTCAATCTGAATGCCTCTATGTACATATTTCAGATGCCCCAACCTTACTCGTGGCTTCATTTTCACATTTAATTAAACTTCCATTCTTATTCGGGCCCAACAATAACCAAATAAGCACATTACATATGCGAAACATGAATCATTTTCTACCCAAACTGGGACTTGAACCTAGAACTTATAATTACTAAGTCAAGGCGCTACCAAGTACACCACAGGTGGTTAAAAGGAATCAGACCTTATAGCTTATATCTGCTATACTTAGGAATGAACACATTCTATCTTAATGCCACTATGTTCATATTACAGATTCCCTAACCTCATTCGTGGCTTCATTTTCGCATTTAAATCAACTCCCAATCTCATTCGGGCCCAACTATAACTAAATAACCACAATGAATATGTGAAAACATAAATTATTTTCTACCCCAACCAGGACTTGAGCCTAGGACTTATAATTACTAAGTCAAGGCACTACCAACTACACCACAGAAGGTTAAAAGGAATCTGACCTTATACCTTATATATGCTAAACTTAGGAATGAACGCATTCTATCTGAATGACACTATGTTCAAATTACAGATTCCCCAACCTCACTTGTGACTTCATTTTCGCATTTAATTCAACTCCCAATCTCATTCGGGCCCAACAATAACCAAATAAGCACATTACATATGTGAAAAAAAATTATTTTCTACTCCAACCGGGACTTGAACCTAGGACTTATAATTACTAAGTCAAGGCGCTACCAACTACACCACAGGAGGTTAATAGGAATCAGACATTATACCTTATATCTGCTATACTTAGGAATGAACGCATTCTATCTGAATGCCACTATGTTCATATTACAGACTCCCCAACCTCACTCGTGACTTCATTTTCGCAATTAATTCAACTCCCAAACTCATTGGGGCCAAACAATAACCAAATAAGCACATTACATATGTGAAAATATGACTTACTTTCTACCCCGACTGGGACTTGAACCTAGACTTATAATTACTAAGTCAAGGCGCTACCAACTACACCACAGCAGGTTAAAAGGAATCAGACCTTATAGCTTATATCTGCTATACTTAGGAATGAACGCATTCTATCTGAATGCCACTATGTACATATTACAGATTCCCCAACCTCACTCGTGCCTTCATTTTCGCATTTAATTCAACTCCCAATCTCATTCGAACAAAACCATAACCAAATAAGCACATTAAATATGTGAAAATATGAATCATTTTCTACCCCAACCGGAACTTGAACCTAGGACTTATAATTACTAAGTCAAGGCGATACCAACTACAACACAGAAGGTTAAAAGGAATCAGACCTTACAGCTTATATCTGCTATACTTAGGAATGAATGCATTCTATCTGAATGCCACTATGTTCATATTACAGATTCCCCAACCTCACTCGTGGCTTCATTTTCACATTTAATTCAACTCCCAATCTCATTCGGGCCCAACAATAACCACATAAGCACATTACATATGTGAAAACATGAATCATTTTCTATCCCGACCGGGACTTGAACCTAGGACTTTTAATTACTAAGTCAAGGCACTACCAACTTCACCACAGATGGTTAAAAGGAATCAGACCTTATAGCTTTTATCTGCTATACTTAGGAATGAACGCATTCTATCTGAATGCCACTATGTTCATATTACAGATTCCCCAACCACAGTCATGGCTTCATTTTCGCATTTAATTCAAGTCCCAATCTCATTCGGGCCCAACAATAACCAAATAAGCACATTAAATATGTGAAAACATGAATAATTTTTTACCCCGACCGGGACTTGAACCTAGGACTTATAATTACTAAGTCAAGGAGATACCAACTACACCACAGAAGGTTAAAAGGAATCACACCTTACAGCTTATATCTGCTATACTTAGGAATGAACGCACTCTATCTAAATGCCACTATGTTAATATTACAGATTCTCCAACCTCACTCGTGGCTTCATTTTCGTATTTAACTCAACTCCCAATCTTATTCGGGCCCAACAATAACCAAATAAGCACATTACATGTGTGAAAACATGAATCACTTTCTACGCCAACCACGACTTGAACATAGGACTTATAATTACTAAGTCAAGGCGCTACCAAGTACACCACAGAAGGTTAAAAGAAATCAAACCTTATAGCTTATAAATGCTATACTTAGCAATGAACGCATTCTATCTGAATGCAACTATGTTCATACTACATATTCCCCGACCTTAACTCGTGGCTTCATTTTCGCATATAATTCAACTCCCAATCTCATTCAAACCCAACAATAACCAAATAAGCACATTACATATGTGAAAACATGAATTATTTTTTACCCTGACTGGGACTTGAACCAAGGACTTATAATTACTAAGTCAAGGCGCTACCAGCTACACCACAGGAGGTTAATAGGAATCAGACATTATACCTTATATCTGCTATACTTAGGAATGAACGCATTCTATCTGAATGCCACTATGTTCATATTACAGACTCCCCAACCTCACTCGTGACTTCATTTTCGCATTTAATTCAACTCCCAAACTCATTGGGGCCAAACAATAACCAAATAAGCACATTACATATGTGAAAATATGACTTACTTTCTACCCCGACTGGGACTTGAACCTAGGACTTATAATTACTAAGTCAAGGCGCTACCAACTACACCACAGCAGGTTAAAAGGAATCAGACCTTATAGCTTATATCTGCTATACTTAGGAATGAACGCATTCTATCTGAATGCCACTATGTACATATTACAGATTCCCCAACCTCACTCGTGCCTTCATTTTCGCATTTAATTCAACTCCCAATCTCATTCGAACAAAACCATAACCAAATAAGCACATTACATATGTGAAAATATGAATCATTTTCTACCCCAACCGGAACTTGAACCTAGGACTTATAATTACTAAGTCAAGGCGATACCAACTACACCACAGAAGGTTAAAAGGAATCAGACCTTACAGCTTATATCTGCTATACTTAGGAATGAATGCATTCTATCTGAATGCCACTATGTTCATATTACAGATTCCCCAACCTCACTCGTGGCTTCATTTTCAAATTTAATTCAACTCCCAATCTCATTCGGGCCCAACAATAACCACATAAGCACATTACATATGTGAAAACATGAATCATTTTCTACCCCGACCGGGACTTGAACCTAGGACTTTTAATTACTAAGTCAAGGCACTACCAACTTCACCACAGATGGTTAAAAGGAATCAGACCTTATAGCTTTTATCTGCTATACTTAGGAATGAACGCATTCTATCTGAATGCCACTATGTTCATATTACAGATTCCCCAACCACAGTCATGGCTTCATTTTCGCATTTAATTCAAGTCCCAATCTCATTCAGGCCCAACAATAACCAAATAAGCACATTAAATATGTGAAAACATGAATAATTTTTTACCCCGACCGGGACTTGAACCTAGGACTTATAATTACTAAGTCAAGGCGATACCAACTACACCACAGAAGGTTAAAAGGAATCAGACCTTTTAGCTTATATCTGCTATACTTAGGAATGAACGCACTCTATCTAAATGCCACTATGTTAATATTACAGATTCTCCAACCTCACTCGTGGCTTCATTTTCGTATTTAACTCAACTCCCAATCTTATTCGGGCCCAACAATAACCAAATAAGCACATTACATGTGTGAAAACATGAATCACTTTCTACACCAACCACGACTTGAACATAGGACTTATAATTACTAAGTCAAGGTGCTACCAAGTACACCACAGAAGGTTAAAAGAAATCAAACCTTATAGCTTATAAATGCTATACTTAGCAATGAACGCATTCTATCTGAATGCAACTATGTTCATACTACATATTCCCCGACCTTAACTCGTGGCTTCATTTTCGCATATAATTCAACTCCCATTCTCATTCAAACCCAACAATAACCAAATAAGCACATTACATATGTGAAAACATGAATTATATTTTACCCTGACTGGGACTTGAACCAAGGACTTATAATTACTAAGTCAAGGTGCTACCAACTACACCACAGAAGGTTAAAATGAATCAGACTTTATACCTTATATCTGCTATTCTTAGGAATGAACACATTGTATCTGAATGCCACTATGTTCATATTACAGATTCCCCAACCTCACTCGTGACTTCATTTTCGCATTTAATTCAACTCCCAATCTTATATGGGCCCAACAATAACCAAATAAGCACATTACATATGTGAAAACATAAATCATTTTCTACCCCGACAGGGACTTGAAGCTAGGACTTATAATTACTAAGTCAAGGCACTACCAACTACACCACAGAGGATTAAAAGGTATCAGACCTTATAGCTTTTGTCTGCTATACTTAGGAATAACGCATTCTATCTGAAAGCCACTATTTTCATATTACAGATTCCCAACCTCACTCATGGCTTCATTTGCGCATTTAATTCAACTCCCAGTCTCATTCAGGCCCAATAATAACCAAATAAGCACAATAAATATGTGAAAACATGAATAATTTTCTACCCCAACCGGGACTTGAACCTAGGACTTTTAATTACTAAGTCAAGGTGCATCCAACTACACCACAGAAGGTTAAAAGGAATCAGACTTTTTAGCTTATATCTGCTATATTTAGGAATGAACGCATTCTATCTGAATGCCACTATGTTCATATTACAGATTCCCCTACCTCGCTCGTGACTTCATTTTCGCATTTAATTCAACTCCCAATCTCATTTGGGCCCAACAATAACCAAATATGCACATTACATATTGGAAAACATGAATAATTTTTTACCCCAACCGGGACTTGAACCAAGGACATATAATTACTAAGTCAAGGTGCAACCAACTACACCACAAAAGGTTAAAAGGAATCAGACCTTATAGCTCATATCTGCTATACTTAGGAATGAACTCATTCTATCTGAATGCCAATATATGTTCACATTACAGATTCTCCAACTTCACTCATGGCTTCATTTTCGCTTTTAATTCAACTCCCAATCTCATTCGGACCCAACAATAACCAAATAAGCACATTACATAGGTGGAAGCATCAATCATTTTCTACCCCAACCGGGACTTGAACCTAGGACTTATAATTACTAGGTCAAGGCGCTACCAACTTCACCACAGAAGGTTGAAAGGAATCAGGTCTTATAGCTTATATCTGCTATACTTAGGAATGAACGCATTCTATCTAAATGACGCTATGTTCATATTACAGATTCCCCAACCTCACTCGTGACTTCATTTTCACATTTAATTCAACTCCTTGTCTCATTCGGGCACAACAATAACCAAATAAGCACATTACATATATGAAAACATTACTCATTTTCTACCCCGACCGGGACTTGAACATAGGACTTATAATTACCAAGTCAAGGCGCTACCAACTACACCACAGAAAGTTAAAAGGAATCAGACCTTATGGCTTATATCTGCAATACTTAGGAATGAACGCATTCTATCTAAATGCCACTATGTTCATATTACAGATTCCCCAACCTCACTCGTGGCTTCATTTTCGCATTTAATTCCACTCCCAATCGCATTTGGGCCCAACAATAACCAAATAAGCACATTACATATGTGAAAACATGAATCATTTACTACCTCGACTTGGACTTGAACCTAGGACTTATAATTACTAAGTCAAGGTGCTATCAAGTACACTACAGAAGTTTAAAAGGAATCAAACCTTATAGCTTATATATGCTATACTTAAGAATGAACTCATTTTATCTGAATGCCACTATGTTCATATTACAAATTCCCCTACCTCACTCGTGGCTTCATTCTCACATTTAATTCCACTCCCAATTTCATTTGGGCCCAACAATAATCAAATAAGCACATTACATATGTGAAAACATGAATCATTTTCTACCCCAACCGGGACTTGAACCTAGGACTTATAATTACTAAGTCAAGGCGCTACCAACTACACGACAGTAGGTTAAAAGGAATCAGACATTATAGCTTATATCTGCTATACATAGGAATGAACGCATTCTATCTGATTGCCACTATGTTTATATTACAGATTCGCCAACCTCACTCATGGCTTCATTTTCGCATTTATTTCAACTCCCAATCTTATTCGGGCCCAACAATAACCAAATAAGCACATTAAATATGTGAAAACATTAATAATTTTTTACCTCAAACTGGACTTGAACAAAGGACTTATAATTACTAAGTCAAGGCACTACCAACTACACCACAAAAGGTTAAAGGAATCAGACATTATACCTTATATCTGCTATACTTAGGAATGAACACATTCTATCTGAATGCCACTATGTTCATATTACAGATTCCCCAACCTCACTCGTGACTTCATTTTCATATTTAATTCATCTCCCAATCTCATTTGGGTCCACCAATAACCAAATAAGCACATTACATATGTAAAAATATGAATAATATTTTGCTCTGACTGGGACTTGAACCAAGGACTTATAATTACTAAGTCAAGGCAATACCAAATACACCACATAAGGTTAAAAGGAATCAGACATTATTGCTTATATTTGCTATACTTAGGAATGAACGCATTCTATCTGAATGCCACTATGTTCATATTACAGATTCTCCAACCTCACTCGTGGCTTCATTTTCACATTTAACTCGATTTCCAATCTTATTCGGGCCTAACAATAACCAAATAAACACATTACATATGTGAAAACATGAATCATTTTCTACCCTGACTGGGACTTGAACCTAGGACTTATATTTACTAAGTCAAGGCACTACCAAGTACACCACAGAAGGTTAAAAGGAATCAGACCTTATAGCTTATATCTGCTATACTTAGGAATGATTGCCACTGTGTTCATATTACAGATTCCCCAACCTCACTCGTGGTGTCATTATCGCATTTAATTCAACTCTCAAAATCATTTGGGCCCAACAATAACCAAATAAGCACATTACATATGTGAAAACATGAATCATTTTCTATCCCAACTGAACTTGAACCTAGGACTTATAATTACTAAGTCAAGGCGATACCAAGTACACCACAGAAGGTTAAAAGGAATCAGACCTTATAGCTTATATCTGCTATTCTTAGGAATGAACTCATTCTATCTGAATGCCACTATGTTCATATTACAGATTCCCCAACCTCACCCGTGGCTTTATTTTCGCATCTAATCCAACTCCCAATCTCATTCTGGCTCAACCATAACCAAATAAGAACATTACATATGTGAAAACATGAATCATTATCTACCCCAACCAGGACTTGAACCTAGGACTTATTAGAATTCAAAGAAATGTTCATTAAGCGATACAGAATACAGGAAGAGATGGAAAAGATAAAAAACTTGTTGCAAGAGGCAAAAAGGTTAAATGAGGAAAGAAATGAAGAACAATTTTCATTTCAGAGTTCTTCCAGACAAATTGGAGATAAAAAAGATAATGACAGAAGATCAGGGATGGGGCCTCATTAAGATTGTTATACACAAATGCTGATGGATTAGCTTGTAAGGCAGTAAAATTAAAAGATAGGATTCACAACATTAAGGCAGATATAGTAGCAATTACAGAGACAAAGCTGAGTGAGGACATAAACAATGTCACAATTTTTCCTAACGGCTTCAGAATATTAAGGGTTGAAAGATATGAGGGGACTGGTGGAGGGATAGCACTGCTCTTAAGTGAATGGATTCAGGTTGAAGAAATAAACTTGGCTATAGAAAGAGAGTTCAAGGAATTTCTTGTTGCTCGAATAAATACTGGGTCAGAGAGCATTATAATAACTGTTGTATGTAACCCACCAAGGAACCATCATAGGCTAGAAGTTTATGAGGAAAGTCATATAGGTATTATTGAAATCATAAACTCAGTTGTTAACATGGCACGGGAGAGAAAATGTAGGATTATGTTATGGGAGATTTTAATCATAAAGAGATAGATTGGATAAATCTTGACCCATACAGTGATGAGGACTCATTCAGTGTAAGATTCCTAGATTGCGTAAAAGGGAATTTCCTACACCAACATGTAATGGAACCAACAATGGCCATGGGTGGGGATGAGCCATCACTACTTGATTTAATATTCACAGATAACGTGTTGGATATTGAAAAAATTGAGCATGAACCACCAATTGGAAAGAGTGACCACTGTGTGTTGTTGATGGAGTATATCACTGAAGATGTTTTGCGTGAGAGTAGAGGCACTGATGACATGAGGAGGATTATCCAAAGGAGATTACATCAAAATGAATGAGCTTTTTTGCAGTTATTGCCTGGAAAACCTTATTTTTCAAAAAATCTGTACAAGAAATGTATGACATCTTTTGTGAAAAATATGGGAAGATAGTAGATTGCTGCATACCTGTCACCAAAGTAGGTGTAATTCATGCCAGAGAGAAATGGTTCTATAACGAGTGTAAAAGAGCTAAGGAGTGGAGACAAATGCTGGAAAAGGTATAGGAGGAAAAAAAACATAAATGCCTGGCAAACCTACAAAAGAGTAAGAAATGATTACCTAAGTAAAAGGAGAGAGGCAGAGAGAGACTATGAGAGAGACATCACCAGGAAGGCTAAATAAAATCCAAAGCTTTTCCACAGCTTTATCAGAGGAAAACTGAAGGTAAAAGAACAGGGTTTAAGGCTCAAGAGAGTGGATGGAAGCATCACTGAGACGGATGTAGAGATCTGCAAAGAATTGAACATTGAGTTTCAGTCAGTATTTACAGTAGAAAATACCCCACCCCCTCAGATTGCAGAGATAGAAGCTCAAGGGCCGGTATTAGAGAACATCAACCTTACAGCCACAGAGGTATGCAAAGCGCTGATGGAGTTAGATGTTCATAAAGCTACAGGTCCTGATGATATATCCCCTCATGTACTTAAAAAATGCGCAAGCGCAATATCACTGGCACTAAGTATCATATTTAAAAAGTCACTGTAGTCAGGGGAGATTCCAAGATGCTGGAAACAAGCAAACATGATACCTACCTTCAAAAAGGGAAGGAGGGATACGGCTCTGAACTATAGACCAGTTTCCTTGACCAGCATAGTTTGCAAAGTTATGGAGAAACTACTAAGGAAACATATCTCTCTTCACTTGGAATCCTTCAACTTTTTGTCAGAGGGGCAACATGGCTTCAGAGAAGGTAGATCAACATTAACAAACTCATTAGAATTTTATGATGAGGTAAGCCAAATCTTACAGGAAAGAGAGGGCTGGGCAGATTGCATATTCCTAGACTTCCAGAATGAGTTTGACACTGTTCCACATGGGAGACTTATTAGGAAGCTGCAAGCAATGGCTAGAATAGGTGCAAATGTCTTGGAATGGATAAAAACTTTCTTAGAATTAAGGGAACAGAGGGTCAGAGTAAGACACTCAGTGTCTGAATGGAGAAGAGTTAGTAGTGGAGTTCCACAGGGTTCAGTTTTAGGGCCACTTTTGTTCCTTGTATATGTAAATGACCTACAAGAGTCTGTAAATTCATTCATGAATATGTTTGCAGATGATGCAAAGATTGTGAAGAAAGTAGGAAACGAGAACAATGGTAGAGAACTTCAGGAAGATCTAAATAATCTGCATGAGTGGTCAGAAAAG